TTTGCAACTTTACAGATCTTCTTTATGCACCAAGAGCTTGTAACACTCCAAAGACAAAGGAAAAATTGAAATTGCATCATATGACCCCTTTAATGGCCACAACAGCTGCTCATTTATGGCACTTCCAGGACGCTTTGCAGACAAGAGGTCTGACACTAGACAGCTGGCACAATGTAATTAACATCCAAATAAATTCACAAGAGCAAGTATATTGTTTGCACATGTTTATTTACATTAAAGGCAAAATAACTGAAATAATAAGGGCACAAGTATAGATCTGGAACTTCTTTAAGTCTGTCTAAATATCATTTAGTAATTGCAATGTCTTCTGGTCCATATCCTTTCCTTAGGAAGGTGTGCTAAATACTGATTAATGTAACATAAAAATACTATACATATTTATATATTTTGCTATTGCATTGTGGAGTGACACTTTCATAGACTTTTCTATACTGCTCTGATTATATAATGGTAAATATTACAATAACATAGCACAACAACAGTGATCAGCAATAATGATAAGCCTAATACTCACAATAAAAATAATAAGGTCATATAGATCATAACACAGTCTTGGAGGTAAGAAGTGGATTATCCTTCACCTGAAATGTTTGTCTTTTCATCCTGAAATGCGAGGCAAATGTTGATCACAATAATTAGGAACCACAGTTTGCACAAATCCCTTCACTCGATTGGGATGTTCTCTTTTATTCTGGAGGGCAAGGACATGTACCATTGAGCGTATTTTGCAGTATTAAACACGTATTTATACCGATTTCATCAGGCTCCGAAAATTCTTCAAAAAGAACACAAAGAATGGCCTTCTCAGCTGCCATAGTTGCAACTCTTGTGTCATCAGAACAGTGTGTTCAACGCATCACCGTTTCCGTTTAAAAAACGTTTTGCACCGTTATTGTCGGGGCTGAACGCAGCCCTGTTCTCGAGTCGACAACTCGCTGATTCAAATGATCCGTTTAGTGCGAGTCTCCAGTGAACTGAATTCACAAGTAAGAACCGCGCGCGCGCCTGATGCTGCTAAAAGTAAGTTACTAATGTCGAATTTTAGTATTAATTATTGTAACTGAAAATCATATTTAGGTCAAAACTGTCAGTTGTTTGTGAACTAAATCTGCTGTAAAGGGTGATCTATTTAAGCCCACTGAAATGATTGAATGCAGACACATCAACATCAGTGTCTCTATGTTTTAGGTAAAAAACCGAAACATTAAAATAACACAGACTAAATAAAATAATTCATGCCGCGTTCATATTCCCCGCTGCCGTAAGGTTAACAGTTGTATTAAAATGCTACGCATTTAGCCCTATGTGACGTCTGTTTTTTATTTTTCACTCGAGTAAAATTGAAAAAGGAGTACTTTTACTTTTACTGGAGTAATATTTTATTATATGTATCTGTACTTTTACTCAAGTACTTGATTTGTGTACTTCGTCCACCACTGCTCAAGTGTTGATCAATGATGGCTTTCAGCATCTTCATACTACTTGGAGTCATTGGGCCAAATCACTCCAGCTGCTCAAACACAACCCCTATGTTTATGGAGCCCAATAAAGCATGATTTCCTCCAATCATATTAAATATGTGTTTTAAAACAGTGTCATTAGAGAAATGACTACACTATGTGCAAGGCTAATATATCAGGCCTGGTCTCAGTCATGGGTCGTGTCTCTGGCAATGGGCTTGGCCCGTAAAGCATTAGATCATGGGGTTTGGTGTGCCCAGATGATATCACTGAGAAACCATCGTCTGGAGAAGAGAAAGCTGGATACTAATACTTACACTACTCATGCTAACCTGTTACGACTAACAAATAAAGCTGGTCATGTCACATTCACAGTGAATATGAAAGAACTAGCTTGATTTGTTAATTTTGTCATCGGTTACTTAATCCAAACCTGTATGGACAAAAGAAGATATTTTGAGAAGTCTCTCAGTGTTTTTCTTCCATGGGATCTGATGTTGTTTAGTCCCCATTGGCAAAATGATTTGAAATATCCTTCCAAATATCTTCTTTTTATGTTCCACAGAAGAAAGAAAGTTTTGGAATGACATGATGGTAAGTAAATGTTGACAGAATTTTCAGTTTTGGTGCACTGTCTCTTTAAAACATCACATTAAATCATAGAAAAGTATTTTTTTCCAAGTTATAAAAAGTATTTATGGCATTTTCTGCTGTCTGTGCTGTTATCTGACCCTCATTTCTTCCTCCGTTTGAAATGTTCTTCTTTAAACTTTTCTCAATCTTTCTCTCACTGTAGCACACAATGTGGGATCTGTGTATGTTTGTGAATGACTTCATAAGCAGCCACATGTGAGCTTGATAAACTGTGTGTATTTTTGGCAGCTTCGAAGAACTGCGGACCTTCTGTGGTGGTGCATACTAGTGTGCCCTTTGGCATCCAGCACCTGGAGGAGGAGAAGGATGCGGTACAGCCCATCATCCTGGAAGAGCTGAAAAAAGTGATGCCAGATCTACCTCCACCTGACAGCATCAAGTGTCAGAAGGGGAGATACTCCCAGGTGAGACAACATTAGTCTGTGTGTGAGAATTTGACTAAGAAACTCAAATGTATGCTACTATTCAAAAGTTTGGAGTCAGTCAGAATACACAATCTTTGCTCTTTTTCAAACTTTAGAATTACTTGGCCTGAAACAGAGTTCACTTTGAACTTGATAGAGAGGTTTATAGATTCTTAAACTGGGACACATAATAAAAAATATTACTTAGTCAGTATTATTATCCCCCATTCCATCCCATCCTGGGTCAATCCTTTATAATTCATATACAGTTCATTATTTTTAGATTTGATTTATATTTCATCTAATTTCTTTTAGTTATTTTATGATCTGCTACATTTTGAATTATCTTTGTGAGGCTCCACTGTAGTCTGTGTGAATATATATAACAAGAGTGAAACAGAGATGTTTTGGCTTATTCAGGCAAGTGCTACTAATAGAAGCCTCCCTTGTTTACAGCAGAAGACATTCATTTTTAATTAAGCCAGGCTGATAGTGTCTTCAAATCGCTCTACTGAATGAAGAAAATCTTCTACTATCTTCTTTTTAAAAAAATCTTCTTTTTAAGTATTTTTGTCCGTCTCTTCACAAAATGGCCGTCCTTCTAGAGTCTCATCACGTCTCAACTGATCTTCCAGAGTCTCGTCATGACATGGCTGCCACGGCTGAGTCCCCGGCCAAAGATGGCCGCCACGGCTGAGTCTCCGACTGTCTGTCCTGCCACGGCCAAGGAGGCCATTCAAGAACTCTCTACTTGTTCTGTCTCAGGCAAGTGGTCTGTCCATGGCCCCCCGCTCTGCCTGCACCGCCATGGCTCAATTGGTTTGTTCTTGTCTTGTGACCCTCTTGTTTGCTATAAGTAGCATCATGTTAGTCACGTCTAGTCTTCGTTTATTGTTTGGATCACTGTAAATAAACTGCACTTGGGTTCTCACTTACGCTCGCCTTCAGTGGACTGAATTCGTTACACCTTTTTTCCAACAAAAAAACATCTAAACTAAATAAGATTTACTCAAGAAGCAAAGCTGCATAACATATTAAGACTTGTTTTCAAATATTAAGACCTGCTTTATTCTTTGACAAATATTTTAGTTCAGCATAAGCCTCATTCAATTTTGTTAGAATTCTGCTTAAAACAAGTAATAAACTTAAAGACACATTACCTGTTTATTATCTTGTCTAGTTTTGCTTCTCTAATAAATAAGGAATAAAACATATATTTTTACTAGAAAACAGACAAAATACAGATTAAGAAAAAACTAGTTTAACTTTTTCAAAAGAGACAAATCCATACTCTCCCCCCACTCACTTGGCTCACACACACACACAATCTTACAGTAGTACTTTATGCATTCACACACTGTGTGGGACTGTGCCCTTTCTCGCACAGTTGCATTCTCTCTCAAACACACACAGACGTTCTCTTTCGAAGCCCCCACACTCTCAGCTCCTCTGTGACACACAGCACTGGGCCTCAGTTTGAGGTCAGAGGACACAGAACATCTGTGTGGGAGCGCTGAGCTCGCTGAGTGCCAGAGAGTGGGCCAAGGCCCGTTTAGACAGCAAAGGCGGGAACACAGCACTTACTCACACACACAGACACACACACACACCTGTGCACGTGCCAGTTCCCGGTCAAACACGCAGAGGGCATGGAGCAGGAGTCGGTCTTACAGTCATTTGCCACATCACCGTTTGCTGAGCATAAACCGGCAACACACACTCGCACTCCCCACATGTCAAAGTCATTGACTTCTCTGGACTCTAATGGCTGGAAAGACTCTTCATGAGTCATGACTTTCAATCTACTGTAAATGTAGACTGCTTTTTTCAACAGACACTACATTGTTGGAGCACAGAACATGTGCATTCCTTTTTTATCACTCATGCTTAATAATACATAACTTCAATTCATAATTAAAAGGCATGGTGGATAATGCACACTCAACCTCAGTCATTAAAATCTGGTGTGGTCTAGGTGTAACATTAATATCGTTTAAAAATGTGTAGGATTTAGGGCTGTCAATTAAATGTTGATTTAATGTGATTAATAAAACTTACAATAATGTACTATAAAAAAAAAGATTATATCCAAAGACATTGTTTGGAAACAATAGTGTTCAAAATAAATAGTGTTTAAAAAAGAATAATAATTAAAATAACAAATAGTAATATGAATTCACCATGACAAAAGTGTCAGCAAAAGGAATAAACCTACATTTTAGTTTAATCATCAAGTTGCAACCCTACATATAACATGTAGCACTTATTCAATGTAGTCTGGATTTTATTTTCCTGTACATCTCATAGTTTTATTCATGAGGGCGAAGGCCTCGGCTTCTACCAAGTTATGGGGGAATTTGTGCCAAAATATTAGAATTTATTGAACACGTAATCTTTAACACCACCATCACAAATTATCAAAAGCCAAACCTTTTCTTCTCCCTTTCTTCTGTAAATGGATGACTATACATTTACCATACGTTGGCATTTAGCATTTTGAACAGATGTGCGACCGATTTTTGGGTCACTGCTATAAAAAGGTTGGCATGACTATTTCATAACTTAATGGCTGTATTTGTAAAAAAGTGTTGGTTCTACAACTCCTTAACTTGGGAAAAGCCCTTTAATTCTCTTACAGGAGTAGTTAATAATTGTTTGCTTAAAGAGATGAAATTTCTCAAAAGAGACAATTTCTCAAAAAAGACAATTTTGTCATAATTTACACCTTAATTGATTTCCAAGCCTTTATGACAGACCTTTCATTTAGGGGTAAACTATCCTGTTAGGAGTTATCCTGCAGTTTGATGCACCAAAGTTTTGACACACTGGATCTTTAATGTCTGAATTTACACCAGAGGAACGCGGAGTAAAACAGATTTAAGGAGGTTAAGGAGTTCGGGCTTTCTTACTTCAGCGTACCTCTGAAATAAACCAAACAATTTGTTCTTGGCCATGTTTCAGGCTAAACGTTTATCAATTGATTTACACAAAGATTACCATTTAAAGATACAAGAGGGGAGGGGGGGTTTGGACACAATGATGATAGCGCTCGGTCTGTAAGATGCCAATTGAAACCCAGGAAATGGATACTATTTCCTTCGCTCTAGTGCGTTGCACCTCGATGTTTATCTGGCAGAGGGTTGGGGCCGGCCGAAGCCTTTGTAATGGGCCGTGCAGGGAATGTGTTTACTCTCAGTAGTCATTTACATGCTGCATTTCTACATTTAAACAATGTACAGAGACACTGTTCTAGCTGTGGCTCTTTTCGAGTTATCTGCAAACGTGTGTCAGATTTACAGTGAGGACCTGTATCGCTGACTGCCCACACTGTAGAATACATACATCATTTTAATGAGCTACAGAGGCAGTTTATAAAGAAGATCAACCCAGATATACAGTTTACAGTGCAACATGTCTGTCCTCTGTAAATATTAATATATAAAAACTACAGAGTTACAGCACATTCAACATATACGGAGCAGCCACAAACTAACTTGCTAGTGCTTAACTTTAAAAACTTACTTTCAAAAATGCCTAACTTTCAAAAACCAACTTTGAAATATCTAACTTTCAAAAAGTATTCTTCAAATAATTAACTTTCTGAAAACTTTTTTACATTTTGTATTTGTTTATTTTACTTTAAACCAGGGCTTTGACAAACTTTGCTTTTCTAGTTTTAAGCTGGGTTACGCACAGGTCACACATACCATGTGCTCTTTAAAACCCACAACCCACAGACAGTGAATATCATCCAAATTCTGCTCAATTTACCATCAAGTCTATTCTTGACTCTGGTTGACCCAATGAAGGCGCCTCCACTGCTATTAAAAGCTCTATATTTAACCAAATATATTAACAGCCCTTTCCCTCCCCCATCTCTTGTGAGAATCTCCCTTATGAGGAAACAAAGCTACAGAACAAGCAGGCACCTAGAACTGTAAATCCTGAAAGTCTAGTGCTGTCATTTTGTAGTATGCATAGATATAATATACATCTTTATAAAGAAACAAGCTAATTACAACTGAACTCGACTGCCAGTGATCTGCATTTTAATGTATGTAACACAGCAGAACTGACTTTTGAGAGCACTGTTTGTGTTTCAACACAAATAAAATAACTATTATTATTTATAAAGACCCAATACTTTTGAATTATGAACAGAAGCATTATTAACGCTTTTCTCTCTATTCCAGAATAGTAAGAATATTAGGCCTGTAAGTCCTGCATCGCTTTAGTCTTCCATGTATTCTGTAGCTTATAAAAATGAATGATTTTGAACCATCAGCATGAGGCACTGCAAGTTTGGATGATTGGCAAAAGTAATTTTCACAAAAACCTGACACTGAAATGGATATATAATCTCATTAAATTCTTAAAGTCTTTGGTGAGTTGTGCTGAAAAATTACATATGGATGGACAGTCTTTCAGCCGTCCTCTCCTTCTGTGCCTTATAAATGAGTGAAACTCTGTTTGCACTTTAGGCAAAATAGTATTGCCACAATATTTTCCACTGTTGTTGAAAAAGAGCCTGGAGTCCTAAAGCTACAGTTTTGTTTTCCTGATATTGAATAAACCACCAATAAAGGAAGACTTTGTCCATCTAAAGACTTTTTGCTATAATCAGTTTAACATTTTCCATGGGCCACATTCAGTTGTCAAACAGGTCTGTTAGGCAGCATTCAGAAGTGTGCTGTATTTTAGTACTGTCATGCACGCCGACCGACTCCACACCATCTTGCAATCCAACCATTCCTATCTATGATCTCTTGAGATTTTTCAAAACATCACAACTGACCCCACATCTCACAATCACCACCCAAATATCATTGGTAGATAATCATTGGTTTCAATACTTTCAATTAAAATTGTTTAGTAAGATGCTCAGTTCATTGCTTTAAAATATGATATATATACAGTATATAAAGAAAATACAAGTGGCATGAAATGACCAGTCCAATAAACAGATCCAGTTTTATGCTATGCATTACCCACAGAAATGTTCCACATAGTGATATGAACACAATACTTTCAATGTGCATTCATTTGCATACCCACACACATCCCAGCTCAAAGAGAGAACAGGCTCTTTTCACTTTTTTTTTTTTTTAAGTAAACTAAGGGTTAACAGCTCTATTCAATATCAGAATAAAAATTAGGTTGCATCAGTTATTGGACGCCCACAGTCACTCAATTTTGTTGTTCTCTAATTAGGTGACAAGATCGGTGGCTGATTGCCCAGGGCAGATGACACTGCACTCCCAGCCTCTGCTGGTGTGTGGGGGGGACGGCTTCACACACTCCAATTTCGACGGCTGCATCGAGTCTGCCCTGAAGGTCTTTGAGGTTCTGAAGTCTTCTCTCTGAAAGGGGGTTGGGAAAGTATGCCTTTATTTGGGGTTTTTGTTATGGAGGATGGCACATTGATTTAGATTTAAGCCCCTCCCTGCAGGAAGATGGATGTACTTCACAAAGCACAGTAGAACTGTCTCGCCTGTGTCTGCAGACATACATTTTGTTACAAAAACCAATTATACTGTCTGTGCCGGATGCTGAGGATTAGAGGACAACAGAGCACTGTGCAAGTTCAGTTGTGACTGAGGCAGACGCCTCATACTGGCTTTGATACAATGTCTTGAACTACGGTTTTCTGATGTGTAGCAAATAATATGAATGCGTTCAGTACTGTCAGCCTTCTCCTGTGATAGTCTCAGATTAATAAAGTAATTAAAACATGCTTAAATGCGTCTCTCATGTGGGTAGTTGACATTCTGCGACGTGACATGCTATACTCCAAACTATTATGGTATTGTGCTTTTATCATTAAAATTCTAAATTATAATAATTATAGTAATTAATATGTCATTAATTATTATTATTTAATCATTAATCATTGTATTTTAATTATTTTTAATAATTACAATAAAATATAACACTTCTTTTATACTAACATTAATACCTTGTATTATTTGAAAGACTATGTAAGACTAATATTGTAGTTTAATTAAAAGTTTGTTTGTCAAATTGCAAGATCATGTCAAATTAACTAGCAAAGGCAAAAAAAGTTATTAAAATTAGAAAACTTATAGGTATAACACCTAAAATAAACAATTTCTCAGTAACAGAGTTAAAGTAAGTTTTAAATAATTGTGAGAACTAAGTGAGTGTCGGCGCCAATATCCTCGTGGTTAGTGTGTCGACACATAGTGCAACTGTGCTCACGGCGACCCGAGTTCGATTCCCGTCTCAAGGTCCTTTGCCGATCCCGCTCCCCGCTTTCCTGTCATCTCTCTACTGTTGTATCTCAATAAAAAAGGCGTAAAAAGCCCATAAAAATAACTTTTAAAAAAATATGACCCTAGTGAAAAATAAATCTACTAAAAAGTAAATACATTTATTTCATGCTAAGTACACTAAAAATACATTTACATATTTATTTATGTACTTAATAAAAATACCCTGCAATTGTACTTTTAGTATACTAAACTGGTATACTTAAAGTCTGCTAAATTGGAACAACTAATTTTGTACTTAATGCATTTTAATCGTGCAGAAGTAGTGCTGAAGCCCAACTAAAGATATACTGAAGTATATTTGATTGTGCTAAAGTGGAACTATTGCAAGTATACGTCAGGTACACTTTAAATATCTTGCATTTAAATGCTGATATTATTCAAAGATAATACAATCCTCATAAATAATGACATTAGAACACATTTTAGGCTTAATATTATGGAATGTGCATTGTGCACATGTAGTACTCCAAATATTATTTAAGTAAGTCTTGAGCGATATGTCAGAAAATATATTAATTTATTTGAACTATACTTAGTATGAAGTAAATGTTACTTTTTTTTACTAGGGGAGCTATAAAAGTCAAGAAATAAAGTTAGAAATAAAGTTGTAATTATGAAATATAAAGTTGAAATTTATAGATATGAATTCTTAATTATGGGACAAATTTGCAGTTGTGAAATGTAAAGTAGTCTTTTTTACCAAGGCAGAAATGGGTTTACATACATTCATGAAAATTTTAACCCACAATTTTGATGTTTATTAAAATATGTCATGCATCATCCAGCCTTGTGTAACTGTATGTTTGCTCTGGTTTTTTGATTGCATAGCCCGGGAAGAGCTCCTAGATAATTTGTGCAAATCAGACCCATCTTGCATTTGGTTTTTGAGCGCAGGAGTGGGGGGAAAGTTGGCCCAGCTCGGCTGCCACCCCCTACTGCTCTGTGTGCAGTTATTCTGCTTAGATGAGCGAGAGCAGCCATTGACTGACTTGTGCAGCTTAGTGCTGCTGCATCTGGGCCATAATCTGGGACAAAATGTTTGGCAGGCAATTTGGAGAGAGAGTCGCTCGTAATCCAGCCGTAATTACAGCCGGGTGGGCCCGGGTCCCACTGCACAGCTGGGCCTCAATCATTCTCTTTCTTGACCTCTCCCTTTCTCTCTTTCTTTATCAGTTACTCCCCCACTTCAAACTGCTCTTCTCACTACTAATATTAGCCTCTGTGACCTTACCAGGATTATATTACTCCCCTCCTGACATACAGCGCACTATATCATCAATACAGCGTCAACAAACCATCTCAAGATGGATGGGTTAGACTCGTCTACACTTTGCATTTATCATGCATCCAGTTGCTTAGAATGCTTTCTCTATTTTCTAAAGGTACGGTCTTTTTTTAACACAAATTCACTGCACTGACAGATATGAAGCTGTTTCTATGCATCACTATACTATTGAAATTAGAAAATAGGCTCCATTTTCACTTTGACTTTTCATGTGATCTCATACTTTCAGACCTACTGTATGTATGAGTATATTTTCTGAATGTCTTTTATTTGTGTCTTGCTTTGAAGAGATTGACCATGTGCCGCTGTGATTTTTCAATAAAAAGTAGCCATCCATGTCGTCTACGTTAAACAAATACCAAGGCCAGGCTTCAGCAAGTATTTCATGCGGTAGTGCGGCAATACTTTCAGGAACAAAGTTATCAAGAGCAACATGTTGGAAAGGCAAGTCTCCAGCTTTCTTTGATTTAAAGGAATTAAAAAGCAAAGGTTACACAGATAAAGCTCATCCTTTCCGCTTTATTATATATGAATAAAAGCCCTGTGTATGTCTTCCTCTTTCTCTAGCTGTGCTGGTCTGATCTGCTAGAAAGAAACAGAGAGCGGCAGAGAGAAAGAGGGAGGCTTTACTCTAATGGATACATTATTCATACAAGTCATCCTGCAAGGAATAGCGCTCAACTGCCTGGGTTGCAAAAGCCTTGCCACAATGTTGCATCAGCCACCTCGCTTTCATTAATACGCACATTACCGTCTAGGGTCTTTGATCTTTTTTTAGCAGTCGATAAAAAAGAATGGGCTATGGTTGAACACTCCATTGCATGGTTGAAATTGTTAGTGATTTGATTTGGGTTGAGGATGTCTGTCCTAAAAGGCTGATGGACAGGCGTCGGTGTAATTATGAGCTGGCGAATGTCGTGCCACTCTCGTGCAACACAGTCTTTTGCTGCCAAGACTCGTTTCAGATGTTCCCCTGACTCCTTTTCGCTTCTTACTTTCATCCCTGTCTGAAATCTTCTTGCTCCCTTTTTCTTTTATCTTCTTTGTTCATCCCTGGTGACATTTCGCATGCTCACGAAGGTCCCTCTAGACTCTTTCTCTTCCCCCCTGACTGTTCAACAGTCCCCCCTTTCTAACCGCGCACGCTGTAAAGCCGCAGAGCACGTAGTCGCAGACACAAGGATCATAGCTCCACTGACCTATTTTTATAGGCTATTCCGACAGAGCGTGGCTGCTGCGCATTCTGGGTATCTGATTTGCATTTTTGCTAAGTCACTGGCAGATGGCACCAGAGCTTGACGAGATAGCGGTAGGCTAATCCCTACCCAATTGACACAGACACACACATACAATCCTCCTCGGCATCATACACAATCCCATCCCCCACTCTGAGGCAGATGAATGGCGGTCATGTGTGCACTCTTTAGGTAGACCCCCCTAGAGCCGGATGAAGAGCCCTGGCATCATACCAGAAGTGCTTAGGCCCTCACTCACATTGAGAATAGAAAGACATTTGTAGCTGGATTCAAGGGCATCACTAATAAGATTTTTCCGCCTTCATATTTGGTTAGCGGGAGAGATGTTTTCTGGGAGGAAATGAAAGGAGATAGTGCCTGGGTTTAGGGATATGAGGATCCTGTTTGTGTGTGTGTGTGTGTAAGAGGCAGACAGGAGATTGGGATGTTTAGACTCCTCTCCCTCTCTCACATCTCTAGGGAGCTCAGGCTTGTTTAATTAGAGGGGTGGTGCTACGGATAATGGCCACTGACGTCATCGGCCCCTCTTCTCGCTCTCCCGCTTCTCCTCACAGGCCCAACAGCATGGCTTTCTCAGCAGTCAATATACCCAAAAGCTCTCTATTGATATGGGAGGGATGGCTTCACTCACATGGCAGCAAACTACCCATTGCAAAAGGCTGGAATACACTACATGACTTTTGTACAGATTTTACAGAGTCAGTCTGCAGATGTTGGTCAGTCAGAATTGACAGATTTTGAGGGAAATCGCATAGTGTATGATGGGCACAGACTTGAAAGTCAATCGTTTAGTGTTTGATGTCCAGTTTTTCTCTGTAACCATTTACATAGTCGGCAAGTGTGTGATATGCCTAGTGTTTTTGAATCTGCTCAGAATAGTCACATTATGTATTCTAGCCTTAAAGCAACCAACCCAGGCTCATTGGAAATACGTGCCTGTGGCGACATTTCTGCAAAGTTATATTTCCTTGCTTATTGCACTTTTTGCGACACTTTCATAGTGCGTGTTCATTTTTCCAAAACATGAATCTGGTAATATTTTATTATGTTAGTTGTTGTAAAGTACCACCCACACTGACTATACCCTACCCTAAACCTAAATGAGAGCATTAACAAAAGCAAACATGAGATAAAAACACAGTTGCTGAAGCAACCATGCCATTTTTTTGCTTGCTTGTACAAGTCTTTGAGCTCTTTGACTATGTTTCACAGGTCTCGTACCAAAGCTGTACCATGTAAGCTACCGAGCAAGTTTAATACATCAGTAAAGCAATACATATGGACCTAGTTATGTGATTCAATCATCAAAATGTATTTGTTTATATCATGCGCTGTTTTGTAAAATTATATCGTACAAGGAACCATGCGAAAATAGGTCTTTATTAATCGACAATCAGACCTGTAACCATGATTTGTGTAAATTTCAACTGGAAATTGCAGTGAACTAAAATGTACAGTATAGGTAAGTTTTGTTTTTTTGGAATATTGCAAAGATGTAGATAGAGACATGTATTGTATATACAGTGCGTTGAGGTTGCAAGCAACTTTAGCTATAAGGCTTAACTCTTTATCCACAGATACAGGTGACTCTAATTAGCCTAGCAACTCTCTATGCCCATTATATTACAGTACTTAAAACAACACATTTTCAATGCTACTGTAGTTAGATTCACTACAAGCTAATAATAAAATGTAGCTTACTAGATTGATGCTATTTTTTCAATAGCAAAGCTATCGTCTACTATCATAGTATGTATTTATTTATTCATTTATTTATCTTGCAAGCAGAACCTGTCTTACATTCTCACTATATAGTAAGCGAAAAACAGTATGTGAAAAGAGTTGTGTCCAAATTCATACTGTAGTATTGATAAAACAGTTTGTGAAAAATCCTA